CTTTGGTACCTACCATCATCCCCCAGAGCTCTGGAAGACCGATGACGTCAGGCTGGTTCCCACGATCGCTGGCGCGTCCCTCAGCAAGTTTGGCAGCATGCCTTCAGGTGCGCTGCGGCGGAAGTCACCAGGCGTGCCTGCTGGTGCTGGTGCTGGTGCTGCTGCTGCTGCTGCTGCTGCTGCTGCTGCCAAGCTTGCTTAAAAAACATTGTGTAGATCTGCATGATCACGTTTAAGATCTTCCACGGTCACCACCATCGACCCTTGAACGACTCGCAGGCGCCCTCAAGGGCGGGGTCCCCCTGGAACTGGCGCTGCTGCCAAGTCCCGGCACACAGATCAAGAACGCCTCGGCCGCCATTGCCTCCGCGACCGCCGCGCTCAGCGGCGCCGCGCCACGCGTGGTGCTCAAGAGTGTGGCCACAATTTCCCTCAAGTCGCGCCTCAACTTGCTGGGGGAGCTGAGCATGCTGACGGGCATCGTGGCCGGCTGCCTGATGGGCCTGGTCGCCCTGACCTCCGTGCCCTGCATCACCCCCAAGGTTTGAAGTGTTGCTTATGGTGTTCGCACCGTCAGTGGGTTGGAGTTCGTGTGTCTGTGGGAGACGGGTGCGGTGTCGGGGCCGTGTGAACAACACACACACACACAAACAAAAACATATACGCAGGGGGGCCAGGTAGAGGGGATGCCGCTTCAGGCAAATGATCAACGTTCACAGTTGATGTGACCGTTTCACTGGTTGGACGCACATATCCACCTTGCTACCACAATGACAGGTCAACTGGAAGGAGTGGCGCCTGCTCCAGTCCTGGCAGGGTGAGTGAGCATGTCGCAGTGTGCAAATGCAGCCCCGGCTGCCGGTCAGGGCAGGCACGGGCACTAGCCAAAGGCAACAGAGCTGCTTTGCGGCACAGCTGCCTGGCCTTACTTCTGTTGCACAAGTCACCTTACAGCCGGCCTGACAGCACTAGTCACACACGTGTGCGGCCCACCTGTCCTTTTGAAAGCGAGCACCACCTGTATTGGTGGGGTGCATCGATGGCAGAGGTGCCGCGCCGCCTCCTCAGCCCCACCCACTGCAATCGATGACTCATCCCTGCTGCCTCTGTCACGTCTGATCTTCATCACCTTGTCAAAACGGCCCACCACCCGACCCAGGCTGGGCGAGCCTGGTCCTCTCGATCATCCACGTGCTGCTGCTGGGCGCGCCCAAGTGGCCCGAGTGGCGCACCGAGTGGCCCGCGCTCATCCCCACCATAACGCTCCTGTCGACCGTCCCCCCGATGGCCCTGGTGGCGGCAAAGCTGCTTCTGGTGCTGCCCCCTGGCAGCACTCTGCTCAAGAGCCTGAGGCGTGGCGCGTGGGGCCGCCCCTGCGGCCTGCACAACGCCCCCGTGTATGTCAAGGCGGAGTGAATGGGCGCGGGCGCACGCATGCAGCGTCAGCACAGCACGCTCGTCACGTTGCGCCAGAATTTTGCAAGATAAGAAAGAAGGACAAATGGCAAGCGTCCTGGTTGTTCACAGCTGGTTTTGCAGGCATACTCCATCGAAGGAGCCCAAGGCGCTGTTACTGCACTGCACATATTTGCTTATATGAGGTTGGCCTGCAAGAGCCATTGGCCCTGCTGCTGCTATATTAGCCGGATTTCGGGGGATATGAGCAGATACTATTATGCTGCCATTCGTCGGATCGGGGCATGCGGGGGCTGTACGGAACACACTGCTTATGAAGGCTGCCCACCCCTGCCATTGTGCTGACCTGTGCACCCAAGCAATCCCGGGCTTGCAGCCTCACCACATTTGCTGCGTTTTTGGTCTGGCCTGGGCCATTCTGTGCTGGTGTTGGTTTGCAGGCATATATATACGTGGGTCTATGTTGCGAAACGAATTTTCCAGTGCCAATTCAAGGGAAGCAATCTCCCGGCTGGAAGGTGGGTGTTTCATGCACTCTACCAATTATTATGCGAGCCGGGGGTAATATGCCGTTGGTGGTTGTCAAAGGGATGCATCAAATGCGTGGACGCATCACATGCGCCAATGGATACGTATGCTTTTTGGTTCGGCTTTTGGTTCGAATTGAAGTAACACGCACCTGGTCTGGATATGCATGTCTAGGGGCGATGAACGGGGTTGAGCCCGATGCGGGATGTGGGTATTCCGCGATGTTTATGTGCCTGGGCTCGTATGCTGTTGCCTGACCCAGCAGGTGCTGCTGCGTCCAATAGGTGTGACCTTGCCTAGCGATGGATAAGCGGAGCATTAACAGAAGAGGCACAATGCACAGACGAGCTGGACAGACGGTTGGTGGGGCGGAGGAATGGGAGCCAGCTGCACCCACATGTCACATGTTCGTCGGTGCCGTGCTTACATCATCAGCAGCAGTCACCTTGCCATTAGCCCTCGATCATTGGCAAAGACCAAGGACCACAATGTAACCTGTGAAGTCATCGGTGGTCATGTACACATAGCCGCAGCTCTGGCAGAAGTGAGATGAGTGCGGACAACCTTTGCTGGCTGATCAGGTGACTCAGTGACCAACTGGCGACATCTGATGAGCAGTGGTGAATGGATTTGAAGCTTCACACATTAATCAATTATCATTTTTCGTGCAAGCGAAGGAGCGCGCCGATCTCAGCTAGCTTTCGAAGCGCCCGCAGCTTGGACCGCAGGCATGCAGTGCTGCACCTGTGGACGTGTTCTGAGGCGTGTTGAAATCAATGTTGGCGGCGCTACCGCACCAGCTTCATCCATGGCGCGGCGGGGGCCAAGGCCCGCTGCACGCGCTCGTCTGCAGCAGCAGCGCGCACCTCGGTTGCACCAGGCAAGGACAGCCGTGAGGGTTGTTGCGGCGCAGAACGATGATGGTACCACCAGCAGCGGTGGAGGGGACAGTGACCTGGCCTTTGTGGCAAAAGGCCTGGTACTGTCATTTGCAGGTGGGGAACGCCCTGGGCTGAGAAATGGTGCTGTTGAGCAGTGGTGTTGCTGCTTGCCTGCAGTGCACGCCTGACTTTTGAGCAACACAACAATCCCACCTCCAGCGCTTGACGCACTCACTTTGGATGCGGGCCACACCTGTCCTGGGCCCCTTGCCCTCGAATCCGCCCGGCACCTACTGCCTCACTGCCCCATGATTGACTGTGCTGCAGGCGGCGCAGTAGTCAAGTACGGGTCACTGCTTGTCAGTTTGCCTCATGAGCCCAACGCGGCGCTCGCGCTGACGCTTGTGGTGGGGACCCCGATTTTGTATGCAGCTGCGCTGCTGCTGCGCAGCCGTGGCGGGAGCAATGCAGGCGGGCATCAGGGAGCCGGGCGGTAGTCATCGTGGTTTTTGGACCCTCTCCAAGCCAGAGGGTTTTGTGTGATGTCTGGTTCTGTATATGCTTATGCAGCCATGCTGTTGGACTCGGACTCTGTATTTGATATAACACAGATCGCCTGGGCTTTGCCTTGACCACTACGCAGCTGATGAAGGTAATCATGGGTGGATGACAGATCCTATGGATGACGGATCCTTGTTACTTCCGACCGGCCTGTGTAACACAAGGTCCTGATGATCGTGGTGAGAGTCAAACCATGCGCTACACAGTGCTGGGTAACATGTAGTGCGCAAGGTGTCTGCGTTCGAAAAAGTGCAGAGGAGATGTGCAGCAGCCAGTGGAAAGCGATGCCGAAATAGCTGATCAGAGCGAGCACCCACTACACGTTTCCAACCACAAGGCTGCAGCTGAGGAATGTGGGTCCGGTGAGTCCTCTCTTGATGGTGCCATCCCTAAGGTCTATCCTAAGCAGCACCTTGGTGCCTGCTGGCGTCCCCAGCAGCGGCATCCCCAGCACAACCTCAGTCAATATTGGACTGCTGTCCTCTGCTTTCAGATGCCCGAACAGTTCAGTGTGCGAGACTGCAAGGCATGCCTGGCTGGTGATGTGCTCCCACCAAGCGTCGCGCAGCTGTGCCTTGGGGGCCGCCGCCATCACGCGGTCGGTAAGGATGGAGGGGACAACGTCTTCGGAGAAAATGGAATTGCTAAACAGTGCGTTCCCAAACATGACGGCGTGCAGCTTCTCCTGAAGCTCCTCAAGCCCCAGGTGATATGCCAGGTACAGGATGGGCTCCAGCTGCGCGGCCGCCTTGGGCCCCACCTCTTGCACCGCCGCCAAAGCAGAAGCCGACAGCGGCATCTGGCGGTCACCTGTCATTGTTGATTCCACGAGACTTGATTTATCGAGCACAAAGTATCCCCTCCCGTCAAGCTGCAGCTCCACACGCTCCCCGCCCAGATCCACGTGAATGCTGTCGAATTGCGCACTGAAGCACCCGCGCATGACTCGGCTGTTGGAGCCGACGGCGTCGGCGAAGAGCAGCAGGCAGATGGCGTCCGCATGCTGCTCCGCGCCTCCACCGCTTCCGTCGCCGCTGCCGTCACTGCCGCCGCCATCACAGTCGTACGCGGCGGGCGAGAGACCGTACACCACCTGGATCCAGGCGACCACCACAGCGCGCGACACAGGGCTGCCCTCCACTGTCAGGCCTTTCAGGCACCATATGTCGCCTGTGTGCGCAAAGGGGGCGGGTAGGGCGCAGATTAGCTGGCGGCTTCTGGTCACTGACAGGCTGACTGTACATACTGCGGTGGTGCACTTGCGGCAATATGGCTGCACGGAGCTCAAGCACCCGCTGCAGTTGCTGCACCTGGCGGCAAGCCCTTGACGCAGCTGCACGCCAGCGAAAGGAGGTCGCGGTGGGCTGGGATGCGATCCCCGCCATCCGCGAGCTCGAGCCATAACGTAGGCTCATCAGAGGCTATGGCCTCGAGGAGGGTGCGCTTCTTGCCCTCGTTTATATTAGAGACAGATGCCATCGTCGCAACCACTAGGTCGTTATCAATGCGATGTATTATATAAAAATTGATTTCTTGAAAACATCAAAGGATGCCATCGCGTGCAGGGGGTTGAATTCGATGCACGTGCCCCCGGTCTGGATCCCGACGACGAAGCCACGTCAGCAGGAGCGGGCCTTGCGTGCTGTCAGCTTATCTGCCCTGTTGATTGAGTTTTGAACAGGAGGATGGCAGAAGGTGCTTTTCTTGTTTGTGGGACACGAAAAAACGCATGATGGAAAGGCGTATCATCATGCCGTGAAGACGGTTGCGGGACACTGAGAGGTTGCAGGTTGGGATGAGTAACTGTCCAGGCGCTGGTGCATGAACGGGGCCATTCCTCAAGCGCCCTCTAGCCCTTGGCTGGATTTATGTTGCCCTTTATTAGGAAATGACACACAATGCTTGGCTGCAACGCGTCCAAACGAACCTTCACCATTTGAAAGAATCGTAACCAGACCCCTACCCAAGTCTGCTCATTGTATCGAAGATAAGATTGTGATATCGCCATCATGAAGGCCTCGTCCTTAAGCCATGTGTTACTGCACATGCGCGGTGACGCACTACCTTCATGGCTAGAGACACGAACGCGTGGGGGGCCTACCGTATGGTGGCGGGTACCAGCGGGCCCGGTCACCTCGGCAAGGTTCAAGTGACGTCCCCCTGCCCTTGAGGCGCACGCCTCATGCGCAGATCCCAAGCCGCTGAAGCGCTTTCAAGCCTGTCCGGCGCTACCGCACGCGCCACACAACCTATTTGCGCCCCCGTCGATGCACGCCCTGCCGGGCGCCTGCTCTTGGCCCCCCTCGCCGTTTGGAATGAGTCGCGAGGTGCACATTTACTGGACCTTGTGTAGTGCACAAGGTATCCGCCTATAAAAAGTGAACAGGGCATACTTGGCAAACAGTGGGAAAAGTTGCCAATTTTGACGATCAGAGCGAGCACCAATAAGCCACTACACGTTTCCAACCACGAGGCTGCAATTGAGGCATAATTCTTTGTCGGCCTCCCTAACAATTGTGCCGTCCTGGAGGTCTATCTTGACCCGCAGCTTGGTGCCTGCTGGTGTCCCCAGAAGCGGCTGTCCTAGCACGAGCTCAGTGGGGATCGGCGCGCTGTCCTCTGCTTTCCCGAACAGCGCGCTGTGACGGGATTTAAGGCACGCCTTCCTGGTAATGTGGTCCCACCAAGCGTCACGCAGCCCCGCCTTGGGCACTGCCGCCATCACGCGGTCGGTGAGGATGGAGGGGACAGTGTCCTCCGAGAAGATCGAATCGCTGAACACAGCGTTCCCAAAGATGACGGCGTGCAGCTTCTCCTGCAGCTCCTCAAGCCCAAGGCGGTAGGCCAGGTGCAGCATGGGCTCCAGCTGCGCGGCCGCCTTGGGCCCCAGCTCGTGCACCGCTGCCGCCGCAGAGGCTGAGAGAGGGATTTCACGCTCGCCTGTCATTGTTGCTTCCACGAGGTTGTTGCTATCTGTCGCGTATCCCCGCCCGTCAAGCTGCAGCTCCACACACTCCCCGTCCAGGTCCACGTGTATGCTGTCAAACTGCCCGCTGCAGCTGTCGTAGCACCCGCGCATGACGCGGCTGCTGGAGCCGACCGCGTCTGCGAAAAGCAGCAGGCTGAGGGCGTCCGCCTCTGCGCCTTCGCCGTCTTCGTCGCTCTCGCTATCGTCACTGTCGCCGTTGTCACTTTCGTACGAGGCTGGCGAGAGATCGTACACCACCTTGATCCAGGCCACCACTACGGCGCGTGACACAGGGCGGCCCTCCACCATCAGTTCTTTCAGGCACCATCTGTCGCCTGTGTGCGGGCGGAGTGGTGGTGGTGGGTGGTGGGATAGGGGGGAAATATAACAGGTTTTGGCTGCTGGTCAGCAACATCCTGACTTAACATACCCTACTGCGGTCCTGCACTTCCAGCCAACTAGCCGTGTGCAGCTCAATCACCCGCTGCAATTGCTGCACCTGGCGGCAAGCCCTTGACGCAGCTGCAGGCCAGTGACAGGAGCTCGCGGTGGGCTGGGATGCGTTCCCCGCCATCCGCGAGCTCGAGCCATAAAGTAGGCTCATCAGAGGCTATGGCTTCGAGGAGGGTTCGCTTCTTGCCCTCCGAAGCCATTGGCAAAACCAGCGGGTCAAAATCGTTTCTAGATGTTTAATGAATGATGTTGAAAATCCGCGCAAAAAGCAACAGATGCGGTCATGTGCGGCGAGCTGCATTCAATGCAACTTGCCGCCTGATCTGGATCTGGACGCAGCACAGGGCAGCGGGCTGATGTCATCTTATCCTGGCCTGTACAGTAATGTTACGATTGAGATTAGAAGGCATGGTGTTTTGTGAGGGGCCTGTGCTGTGGTGGAAAGGCGCAGCAGGCCAAGAAGACGGTTGCGGGTGGTTGCGAGGTTGGGAGGGGGACGGGAAATGAGGCAAGATGCTCGTGCTTGAATGGTGCCAATACTCAACAAATCTACCACCCTCGGCTAGGTTGCTCGTGCTCGAAAGATGATGCGAAACACGCAGCTGCAATGTCAATAAACCTTCTAGACCCACAACCTTGCACATGCGCGCTGAGTGTCGACGCTTTTCGGGGGAAGGATGTGCGATTGTCGTTACACAGTAGCCCATGTCCTGAGACAGAACACACACCACACATTGGCCACGAGGCCAGCTTCACATAGCAGGTGGGGAGAAGTGGGGGACGTGCATCCCAGCAAGGAAAGACGAAGACTGAAATCCAAGCACCTGGAGGTGAAAGAGAGCCAAGCTGCCTATGCAAAACAGACAAGGGCTGGGCACAGCCTGTGTATGTATACGGGCCCAGCACGCGCAGCGCAGGCGATTGAAAGCAAAGCCCCAAAAAAGGAAAAAACGACGCCGCCTACCGCCGCCGCTTGGCTGCCGGGTTGCCGCCGCCCCCACCCCCGCCGCCACCC